ACCACCTCCATAAATAATAATTGAACCGTCCTTGCCTGAAAACAAAAAAAAAGGATAGCGAAGTTTGTAAGTTATGAACAGAATGATAAATACTTTATTATACTGTATTACTACATTTTATTACATACCAAGCACAGCTGTATGAGATTGACGAGCTGTAATCGGGTCACCAGCTGCGTTCTAATAATCAATACATAAAAAAATAATATAATATGGAGATAAATAAATTTGTCTTGCATTAAGAAATATATTTATACTAAATTAATGAAGCATGGAGTTGTACGCCCTTCCAGTTGTGCAAATACAAACTATACTACTATGCTTGATGCAGCAACAAATGAATGTTGCGTTGAGAATCCGCTTTTCTACCGTGATGCATACATACTCTTCTATCACGCATAACTTTTATGACCGCAATCTATAATTTGACTTTATTCAGATAGACCATATTTGATGAGTTAGATAAGATGGGACCAGAAACTATTTAGGGGGAAAAACCTATTCTGCTCTAACACACAAATCGCATGACAAGATTATACTAATTGCATAAATCTGAACTGTACATGACAAATTTGTATACTGTGACTGGTTCATGCAAAGTGTTGTTCCGAAACATTCTTATTAACAGTTCATTTACCTACCATCGATGACCAAGTTCCAGAATTCGTATCATAAATTGTAATCTAGTAAGATACAATTAGCCTTATTAAAAAAAATAATAAAAGACTTAACACGATAATTAAAACTTAGCTACTTTTGTCATGTCAATTTCTGGAGTAGGGTCATCATTTGTTCCTCCAATATATACTATAAGCCCACTTGGTAAAAGTGTGGCAGTATAATCGGATCGAATGATTGGAGCAACAGCACCATTAGTCCAAGTTAATTTCAATGAATCCAATATATAGGTGTTATTATATGATTTCTGGGTTGCGTACGGATCATATCCGCCATAAATATATATTTTACCATTTTTATCAACAACTGCCGACATTTCTTGTCTGGATGGTGGTGTAACACCTGAAGTTATTGAAGTAGTCCATTTTGGAGATGCTGTATCAAGAGCAAAGGTCACTAGAGTAGTTGAATTAACATTATTTGTACTACGATGTTCGAATAAAAAAATAGTAGAATTGCTACTCCCACCAACGCAGGAAGGTGAGAAAGCACTAAGGACAGGTATAGGTGCAACGCTTGTAAGATCAGTCCATACAGGATTTGCAGCATTGAATGGTGAAGAAACATTCAAATAGAAAAAATCACTAGTGCCTTTTCCTGAACTTCCTATGCCACCTATAAAGTATATTTTTTCTCCAACGACGACGCTGCCCTGGAAATAACGACTGGCAGGTACAAATAAAGACATTGTAGTAATATACAGATTAAGAACTAACGTTATTAGGCATAAAACTATATAAAAATAGAAAAAAAACACGGTCGATGTGAAAAAGGTCTTATGCTAATAACTGTTAAAATTGTTGTCAAAATAATTCTCCTAATATATTGTCATTCCGCACGTATGTACGTAGGTGCAGTAATTTATCAGCTATTTCAATAACGTAATAAAAACCCGTAATGCTATTTGTTTAGATCTTTTGTTTAAATCTGATTTTTGTAAAACAAAATAAAAAGTACTTTTATAGTATTAGTGTGACTAAAAATGAATATCGAGTTATATTATTCATTACTGCATTTTAATTACGAATAACACAAATTCAAATTCGCATGATTTGTACGATCAACAAATTATTGTACATGGACACATATAAGCACGTATCAATCTTATCTTTGCCAAGAAATTATCATTCAATTGGTATTAAGAATTTTCTACGAAAATAATGTTTAAATAAAAAGGTCAATTCCACACAATATTTATATTTTTACAATTAGGGCTGTTAATTAGTTTATTCGATCCATCCTAGGGAAAGAGTAAAGCGAAGTGTATGTATGTTTGTATTATGTACATGCGTATGTACGTACGTACGTACGAACTGGGAAAACGCTTGATTAGTTTGTGTTACACGAAAATTTTCAATTCATTATTTGCATAAACAAGGTCACATGTTTAAATTTGATTAATTGACGATCTTCTATTTTTAGATTATTATGTCTTCGAAGAATTTACTCAAAAATATCGGACGTGAGACAAAATAATATGACATGTAAATAAGAGCCGATATTTTACAGTGCTTTTCAAATTACTGTGTTCATCAAATGATCGCCCATCACACGGAAATCTGAAAATATTGGCAAATTTTGGCACTTTCTCATGAATAAATCTAATTAAAATGTCAGAAACAAAAAATTCTCAAGATTCCCCGTTATATTTCGATTCTCCAGCATCACTTCTAGTAGTACACTAGATCTGGTAGTTATTGAGACAAAGTAATATCAAAATTTCCGGGGATTTTCTTTTTATTAGTGGGAATTTTGATATCATTTCGTCAAACCAGCTACCAAATCTAATTTACTACTAGAGGCAGTACTGCAGAATCTAAATATAATGGGGAATCTCGAGAAATTTTTATTTCTAGACATGTTAATTAGATTTATTTATGAAGAAGTGCCAAAATTTTCAGATTTCCGTGATGGGCGATCATTTGATGAACACAGTAATTTGAAAAGCACTATAAATTATTAATGTCCTTTTTTACTCACTCGCTGAATAAAACGATTTACGTATACGAATGGAATGATTTATATGTAATAGGAAATAAGTTTTTTTCTTCTTGTTATATGAATTTGCTTTCTGTTTTTATTTCTAGTAATCATTATTTATACTCACGGACTGAATAAATGATTAATACGAAAGAAATTATTTGCATATAATGGTGAATAAGAATTTATATTCTTTTTTTATTTCTTGAAATTGTTAAATGTTCTTTATACTCACCGACTAAATTAATGAAAATGAAATAATTTTAAATAACTTCTGTTGTTTTTATTTCTAGAAATTATTAAATGTTCTTTATACTCACCGACTAAATTAATGCAAGTGAAATGATTTATGTCATTGTCTTATGAACTTGTTTTGCTGTTTTTATTTCTAGAAATTATTAAATATTCTTTATACTCACTTACTAAATTAATGCGAATGAAATTATTTGTACAGTACATAATAGTAAATAAGTATTTATGTTCTTGTTTTGTTTTACTGTTTTTATTTCTAGAAGTTCTTTATACTCACGTCCTGAATGAAATTGTACGTAATAGTAAATAAGTATTTATCGGTTATGTTCTTGTTTTGTGAACTTTTTATGCTGTTATTTCTAAAAATAATACTGCGATTTTCACTGGGAATCAGAAATCTAGAAAAAATGCCAATACATGATTGGCTAAAAATTATTTATAACCAATCACAGATTTGCATTTATTGTATTCTAGATTTCTGATTTCCGGTGTGATGTATGAAAAATCACTGATCACAGTAATTTGAAAAGCACAGTAAATGTTTTTTATACTCACCCACTATATTAAGACGAAATGATTGTACATAATGGTAAATACTGAAATAAGTATTTATGTTCTTGCTTTGTGGATTTGGTTTGTTGCTTTTATTTCTAGAAATCATTAATTGTTCTTTATACTCACAAGCTGAATGAAATGATTAATGCGAATAAAATGATTTGTACGTAATAGTAAATAATTATTAGTTTCTTGTTTTGTGGAACTGGCTTTACGTTTTTATTTCTAGAAATTATTAAATTCATTAAATGTCCTTTGTACTCACGCGCTAAATGAAATTATTAATGCGAACGAAATGATAATAAATAAGTATTTATGTTTTTATTTTATGAACTTTTGTTTTGCTATATTTATTTCTAGAAATTATTAAATGCTCTTTATACTCACGGGCTGAATGAAATGATTTTTACGTAATGGTAAATAAGTATTTGTTTGCTATTTTTATTTCTAAAAATTTAATAAATGTTTTTTATACTCACTGACTAAATTAATGCGAATAAAGTTATTTGTACGTAATATAAATGAGCATATCTTCTTGCATTGTGAACTTGTTTTACTGTATTTGCTTCTAGAGATTATTAAATGTTCTTTATACTCACTAACTAAATTAATGCGAATGAAATGATTGTACATAATGGTAAATGACTATTTTGTTCTGGTTTTGTGAACCTGTTTTGCTGTGTTTTTTTTTTGTAAAATTAATAATTGATCTTTATACTCACATGCTGAAAGAAATGATTAATACGAATAAAATAATTTGTAAGTAATCGTAAATATGCATTTATGTTCTTTTTTGTTTCGCTGTTTTTATTTCTAGAAATTATTAAATGTTCTTTATACTTACAGACTAAATTTATACGAATGAAATAATTAGTATGCGATGGTAATTAGCATTTATGTTCGTTATGAACTCGTTTTGTTGTTTTTATTTCAAATATTACTGAATGCTCTTTATACTCACCCACTAAATTAATGCGAATGAAATAATTTGTATGTAATGGTAAATAAGTATCTATGGTCTTGTTTTGCTGCTTTTATTTCATGAAATTAGTAATATCTTTTATACTCACTCGCTGAATGAAATGATGAAATGATTTATTCGTAATGATAAATGTATATTTATTTTCTTATTTTGTGAACTTTTTCTGTTTTATTTTAGAATTATTGAATGTTCTCTATACTCACTGACTGTATAAATGATATGCACGCAATGGTAAATAAGTATTTATGTTCTTGTTTTGCGAACTTTTATTACTAGTTTTATTTCAAGAAATTATCAAATGTTCTTTTCTCACCGGCTAAATTAATGAGCATGAAATAAATTTGTATGCAATGGTAAATAAGTATATATCTTCTTGTTTGTGAAATTGTTTTGCTGTTCTTATTTATAGAAATAATTAAATGTTCTTTATACTCACTGACTAAATTTATTCGAATGAAATGATTTATACGTAAATGTAAATGAGTATATGTTCTTGTTTTGCAGTTTCTACTTCTAGAGGCTCTTATACTCACAAGCTGAATCAAATAATTAAATGCGAATGAAATGATTTTATATAGTAAATCAGTATTTATGTCTTTGTTTTGTGAACTAGTTTACTAGTTTTATTCTAGAAATTATTAAAAATTCTTTATACTCACGGGCTAAATTAAATGATTAATGCGAATGAAAATAAGTATTTATGTTCTTGCTTTGAACTTGTCTTGTCATTTTTATTTTCTAGAAATTATTAAATGTTCTTTATACTCACGAGCTGAATAAAATGATTTGTACGTAATGGTAAATAGGTATTCATGTCTTTGTTTTGTGAGCTTATTTTGGTGTTTTTATACTCACGAGCTAAATGAAATGATTATTAATGCGAATGAAAATAAGTATTTATATTCTTGATTTAGGAACTTGTTTTGCTGTTTTTATTAAATATTTTTATACTCACAAGCTGAATTAAATGATTTGCATGTAAAGGTAAATAAGTATTTACGTTCTGGTTTTGTGCAGCTATTTTGCTGTTTTTTATTCTAGAAATTTATCAATGTTCTTTATACTCACTAGCTAAATTATTGAATTATTGTGAATGAATTGATTTGTAAGTAATAGTGAATAAGCATGCTCTCATTTTGCGAATAAAATTAATAGTTATACATTGGGTGTCATGGGTAAGCGAAAATGAAATTTTCGCTTAAACAGATTTATACACATATCACATATAATCATATCTACAGTATTATCTTTCTTATATAAGATTCATTTTCACAAATCTTGTAAGCAGTGATTATTTTTCACTGTGTGGACTGTGCGCAACACAGAAACAAAATCTTGCGTACATTTTTTTTTTTTGAATAGATGTGCGGATGTCGCACAGATAAAATTGAAATTTTATAAGTAGTGCGCACATGCAAATAGTTTCTCATGGTTTTTTTTTTCTATTTGCAGCACAGAAAAAGTACGGTATCCGCACAGTAAATTTTAATTGAAAAATTAACACTGCTTATGATTCTTGCGATAGCGTGACTATTATCAGCGCATAGGGTATAGTAGGCAGGGAATAGCTAGGGGATTAATGTTCGTTATACTTACGGGCTAAATATAATAAACAATAAATATTTTATGATTTTAAATTGCTTATATGTGAATTAATAAATTTTTTCACACTTACTCCCTAAAAATTAATAAATTATTAAGTAAAGATTGCAAAATATTATAATAAAAATAATATTTATCATACTTTTCAATCCATTCCCAAAATTTATCATGTGTCTCTTCCACACCAATTCCGTAATAGTAACAGATAGCAGTTTTGAAAATTCCCATAACATTACCTGCCTCGGCGGACTTCAGATAATACGAAAATGCTTTACGCTTATCGACTTCAACTCCAATTCCTAAATAATAACAATAGC